GGAGGGTGAAGGGAATGTGGGGTAGAAAGGGGGAACCAATTACAAGAATCTAAGTATTGCCTCCTCCCTGGGGGAGGGACAGCAGAGAAGAGGGCGGAGGGAAACATCGGACAGGTTAACTTATGACAAAACTATAATAATTTATGAACTATGAAGGGTTCATGAGGGAGGGGGAAAATGATATTAGGGGCTATAGAGTGGGAGGCAAATGTTTTGAGAATTATGAGGGCAACAAAGTGCGTATGTGCCTGACACAATGGATGGATGGATGGATGGATTGTGTTGAGAACTGTACGAGCCCCCAATAAAATAACGACAAAGAATACCATGGGAGTTACATATCGAGTGAGCATTCATGAGAATGTAACCTTCAGTGGTTATTCTTAGAACAGGTGAAAGCAAACTCACCAGAAGTCACTGTCATTATTCTTGACAGGTTAAGAAAGAAGAAGAAATCATTTACACAGCAACATAATTATTACACATTCAAATACAAGGTATACCAGTTACTGTAACACTTTTGAAAATAAAAGTTTTAAGGACAAGTTGAATTTAAAATGTCCTGTTCTTTTGCTTCTCTGCGTTCCACTCTGCCAGGCTGAGGTGTGTCCCCACCCCCAGGCCATCAAGTGTTGGTGTGCAGTGCCAGGAGGGCGCCTAGGTTCAGTTTATTGTAACACCTGAAACGTCTTCTATCCTTTATAAAATCCCACTTGGACCCCCCCCCCACAAAAATTTAATATATCCTGCCTGCCCAAGTTAGATCATTTAAAATGTTTATTCTACATAGTGATATTTTAGAAATATTCTATAACCACCACAGCACATTAAGGTCAATGTCCAGTAGTATATTTTGATACAGATTTCTAATTCTAAAGGAAAGAAATTCCATAAAATTATTTTTGAAATGTTCGTGCTCCAAATTGCTATCACAAGGAAGCTATTTTTCACACTTGGCCCTTGAGCCCCATGTATTGTAATCTATTTTGTACCTCCTTTCCTAAATTAAGAGAAGAAATATTGGTAATTTAATTATAAAGAATTTAAAACCTTTTAACTTTACCTTTGCTTTGCAGCAATTATCACAAGAAACATCTGGGTATTTCTTACAAAAATCAGGATTAAACTCATTTTCACCAAAGTAAGCCAAGAGCTGGATTCTCCTGCATTCTGTTATATTTTCACAATAATGGACCATGCTGTACAAATTATTGAAGTGAGTCTCTTTTGTATGCTTGTTTCCATCCTTTTCCACTAAAGGAGATAAAGAACACAGTAAAACATACTTGATTAGAGCAGAGAGTAAGAGAACAGCATGGGTAAACAACTGAGTATCTGGTGAAGTAAAAATAACTACTATTAATAGAATTATATGGCAGTATGGCAACATTCTATATTATAACGAAGTAGGTATTTATGTATATTTGCCTCTCAAGGCTTTAGGCTGTACAGGAATAAATGTTAGACTATTAGGAGTGGCTGAAAATTTTTTTGCAAATTTTCATTACTCATCACGATGAAGAGATGACTTTTTTTATTGTATTTATTGGATAAGCACATACTGAACAGAACATCCAGAGTCAGTAGGCCCCAGAACTCGGCAGTAGGCTGCCCTCCTTCCCCAGGGATCTTTGGTAGAAGTGGAAAATCCAGCAGCTCCCAAACTGTGTGCCAAGGAGCCCTGGGGCACTACCATGAAATCTGAGGGGACACTGGTGGGTTAACACAGCACTATCTATCGACTGTTAAATATTGAGTGAACTCCTAGTTCAAGGTAGTTCGTGGTTTTAATGTTAGATTGCACTACATTCTTCTAAACAACATGTTATTTTGATGGAGCTGGATTTTTGGCACTCGCCACGATAAAAATGAGTATTTTGAGAAAATCAACGTGAATTACGAAATGAACATGACAGTAACCGTGATTTCAAGGTGTGCGCATAACAGCTGCTACTTGCCATCAATGAGCAATTGTGGTTACTTAGGAATGAAAGAAAAATACTGTCTTCCTTCTAGTTTACAAGTATTGTTTTTTCAAACTGTTACTAAGTTATTAGAATGTATATTACTACTAAGTTAGTAGGATTTATTAACTTGCTTGGACCTATCTATTTGCTGTGGTTTCTGTTTCAAAACGTAAGGGGGAAACCAGATATAAAAGTTTCATTTTTTTTCTGGAAATCATCTTAATATAGGGCAATGAATATGGACTCTGCAGTCAAAGTTGGGTCCCTTCAGGACCCTGCCAATTCAAAAGTAGTCTCATAATATAACAATATGCCCATCGGTAGACAACTGGACATCCCCTTACAGAAGGGTCGCAAGGAAGAGACAAGCCAGTCAGGGTGCAGTATAGCACCAAGGAAACATACAACTTTCCTCTAGCTCTTTAATGCTTCCCCACCCCACTATCATGATGCCATTTCTAGAGCATGTACATGAGTACAGATAAGAGCTTGCAACACAGGGAATCCAGGACAGATCAACCCTTCAGGAACAATAATGAAAGTAGCAATACCAGGAGGGTAAAGTAAGGTGGGGGAGAATGGGGAACTGATTACAATGATTTACATAGAACGCCCTCCCAGGGGGATGGACAACAGAAAAATGGGTGAAGGGAGACAGTGGTTGGTTTAAGACATGAAAAAAAATTTTTTTAATAAATTATCAAGGGTTCATGAGGGAGGGAAGAGGGTGGATGAGCTGATACCAAGGGCTTAAGTAGAAAGAAAATGTTTTGAAAATGAGTTGTACAATAAACGATTTAAAAAAAAAATGATGATGGCAACATATATACAAATGTGCTTAACACAATGGATGTATACATTGTGATAAGGGCTGTAGGGGCCTCCAGTAAAATGATTTAAATGAAAAAAGATGTAAGAGCCCCCAATAAAATGATCTTTTAATTAAAAATAGATTAATATATTTTGAAAATATTTAATCATCACAACCCAATGGAAAAATGGGCAAAAACCATAACCAAATTCTAAGATAGGTATTCACTTTGACCCAGCGAGTCTAGACTAGAGATTGATTCTATATACCTAATTGTCCAAATGTCCACAGGTATCTGCACCAGGATGTTCACCATCACATTGCTGGCAACAGTGGGTAATCTAAGTACCTGTTCCAATGGGATTGGTTAAATAGATGTGGAATATTCATACTATGGAATTCTATATAGTTAAGCTATGAAAATTAATGGGCATGGTAATTACAGTGTTAATTGAAAAAAGCAAGTCATTAATAAGAAAAACACATGTTTAATAAAATCTACTTAAGTTTTAAAATACCTATGGTCAGGGAGGGGTAAGCACCAATTACAAGATACAGCCCGACTCTGACAGGGAGGAAGGGCTGGGCCTGGAAAGGGGCAGCGCACTCTTGGCTGTGTGTCTTGTCCTAAGCTGAGCGTTCATGACCCTCCCTTTCACCCTTTTGTATGCTGGAACTGTGCGCCGTAGGTAAGGGTGCATGCGAGACTGGGTCTGGAAGGGCAGAAAGGAAGCAGTGACTAGAGTTATTTTTTAGGGCACCGCTTGGGAAATTTTGCTCAGTACATGTCTGCATCACGGGAGTTTTACATAAGCAGGTAGTACTGTCTCAATAAAAATAAACGAATCCAAAATTTCCACACTTAGAACAACATTCCAATCTAGGAAGCGCTCTAGTGGTGCAGTGGTTAAAGTGCTAGGTTGCCAACTGAAAGGTCAGTGGTTCAAACTTACCAGTTGTTTGTGAGACGAAGATGTGGCCATCAGTTTGCTAAAGAGCTAAGCCCTGGGACCCTCTGGGGGTTCTATAAGAAGCTATGAGTTGGAATTGACTTGCCAGCAGCGGGCTTGGGTTCCCTTTGGGGGGCTTGTTTATTATTCTAGGATTACATACGGAGAACTGGAACCAACGGTAGCATAATGAGCAGTAGAGAGGTAATTATCACGAGACTGAGGATGACTGAATGTGTCCACAATGAGGTTCAGCTTACTCAATATCAGTCTTTTCAGTCGGGTCACATCATGATAGGTGTAGAAAAGCAGGCAGTGAGACATTTCCCCATCTCTTCCAGCTCTGCCAGATTCTTGGTAGTAACCCTCCATGGATTTAGGGAGAGACGCGTGGATCACAAATCGCACATCCGGTTTGTCAATCCCCATTCCAAAAGCAACGGTGGCACAGATAACCTGAGGGAAACCAAAAGCCAATTTATGAGACTCAATGCAGCTTAAAAGAATGTTTTCCTAATGGCAGCTGCTTCTTAAAGCTTGACCCCAATTTTACCTTCCACCCTACCCAATGATCTCAGAGCTTACCTTTATCCCACGAGTTAACATGACTAACAGGAGATTTTCATAGTGATAATGTGCATTTCTCCCGAGACTCAAGCAGGTAAAGAACAGCCCGGCAGGTAAGGACTTCCTTGTGTGGCTCAGTTTGCTCATGTGAAGGAGCTGGATCAAAGGGTGTGCTGCCACAGCCTGCTCTCCTCTGGGGAGGGTGCAGAGGTATGGGGGGGTATTGCTCACACAGCATGGTATCCAGGTCAGTGATCATCAACATGGGCTTGCTCAGGAGCTCTGGGTGTTTCCAGGGCAGCTGAGGCCAGCTCACAGGTGATTCAAGAACAATGGCATTCTCTGGTGCTCACCAAAATTTTCCCCAGTGGAAAATTTTACCGTACCACCTTACCACTGCACTGAATCCTTTTATTTACCAATTGATTTCAAAGTCAAAACGGTTATTTTGAAACTCATCTTGGTAAAAGACCGAGAATTTCTTATACTGGAAGGAAGGGGGGAGGCCTGGGGGCTGTGGCCCTTGACCTATTTAAACAACTTAGTTGAAGCAAGGTGGTAGTTAAAATTCAGGAGTTGGATAAATTGATTGTTGGCCAAAAAATCATCTTTAAGACTCTCCATTCAGTTGCAAATTTAGGACCTATTTAGTCCAGACAAAAACTTTCTATCTCTAGGCAAAATCACATTAGACAAATAAACCGGCAAGTCTTTTTTTAGCACTTAAAAAAATGAATCACTACTGCAAGAACAGTATTTCAAAAGCAACTGCTGTATCTGCAGCAAGACTGAGGCTAATGCCATGACTTCAGTAACTGTGAGAGCAGAGCAAAGGAGCTGCAAGCGATGGGCTGACTATGTGCAAACCAAATGGGTACATTTATCAACATGGGGACCGGCAGCGGTGTGCACTCTGGGTTAGCTATCCATCTAAATTGACAGCACTTTGATCAAAGTCAAAGCTCCTTGGAGAGAAAAGGCTCATACTATTGCCTCTAGTGTGGAGAGCAGGCCCAGAGGGATGCCTGCCCACAGAGGGACCATATGGTGAGAAACTGTAGCCGGGCGGCAGGGTGGCTCTGAGCCTGGCGCTTCTGCATCTCCAATGGCAGGCTTTGAGTGAGCGCATGGGGATACCAACTCTTTCTGAAAGCTCTTCCTGTAACTCAGAAAGCCTCCTTTGCGGAGTTAACTACTTCCCTTTTTATTCCTGTGTTTTGTTTTTTCAAACTGCAGACACCGACCATTTCTTAGTGAACAACAACAAAGTTTATCACACAAATCTAGCAAGATCAAGGCTGTCCAGCTGGTGCAGGATAACATTATACCCTGACTGAACGAATTAGCCAGCCCGTGCCCATAGCATAACTAGTTTGATTAAAACAAAACAAAAGGCCAAAAGAGGCACAGAAACCAACCGAACCAAAAAACCCGACTTCACTAATTCCTTTTACCATTAGAAAAAAGTGTGTGTGTATCTATACTAATCCCATTGCCTACAAGTTGGTTCCAACTCATAGCCAGCCTGGAGGACCACGCAGAGCTGCCCTATAAGGTTCCCAAGGCTGCAGAACACCCAAGGACTGACCTACTGTGCTTATACGTACAAATGTGAGGGATGTGGAGAAAAACACTCTTAATTATATGTTTAGGAACATTCTATCTTAATTGTTAAACTATTTCATGCTAGGATTTTTCCTCGTCATTCTTTATTTGCATTTTTCTACTCTATTTTCATTTTAGGCATGATTGAGATTATACCCTTCTGAATTCTACTTTTCCCTATCTTCATCCTTAGCACCTGAGCATCTTCATATTACTAAAAATTCCTTCATAAGTAACTTAGAAAAGTTAAAATCCTTTTACTACCACTTAAGACAAGACAAAGGCACATCATCGGTCGGCTGAGGGAGACCATCAGCCGACTTGAGGCCAGAGTGGTGTCTCAAGAATCCATGGCCATGGTGCTAACAAATCTGTTTATACCTTAGGCTCATTTACTTCAGTTGACACTTATTAAAACAGTTCTTTCCAATTTTTGACATGCTCTTCATTTATAATTTGTTTGTGAAAATATTTTTCAGGTCTATTTAGATAAGATAGGCTGGATAAACAATCTGGAGGAGAAAACAATGGAAGCGACAGTTCTGGGGGTCATGGGAGAGGGGGCGGTGGGGGAAATGAAGTGGTGTTAACAAACCCAGGGACAAGGGAACAACAAGTGATCCAAATCGGTGGCGAGGAGGGTGTAACGGGCCTGGTAGGGCTTGATCAAGGGCAATGTAACCAAGAGAAATTACTGAAACCCGAATGAACGCTGAGCATGATAGTGGGACAAGAGGAAAGTAAAATGAAATAGAGGAAAGAACTAGGAAGCAAAGGACATTTAAAGAGGTCTAAATATAGGCATGTACATATGTGAATATATTTATATATGATGACAGGGAAATAGATCTATGTGCATATATTTATAGGTTTAGTATTAAGGTAGCAGATGGACATTAGGCCTCCATTCAAGTACACCCTCAATGCAAGAACACTTTGTTCTATTAAACTGGCATTCCATGATG